AAAAAAAAAAAAAAAAAAAAAAAAAAAAAAAAAAAAAATTTTTAAAAAAAAAAAAAAAAAAAAAAAAAAGAGCAGCCTGGGCGACAAAATGAGCTCAAGGCCAGCCTGAGCTGCATAGAGACCCTTTCTTAAAAAGAAGGAAAAAAAATGGAGGTAAAAAGCTGGTTACAGTATTAACAATGTTTGTTCAAAATGTACATGTATGGAATAGGGGTGCAGCTCAGCAGTAGAACTTGTACTTAGCATGTGTGAAGTCCTGGATCCAAGTCCCCAAGAACACCCCCAAATGTATGTGTACAAATGTCAAGTGTGTATACCTAGAAAAAGAATTGGAATGACATGCGTGTATAAAGACACGTACTGGGTTCTGAACCCAGGAGTGTTCTGCCCTGACCTACATCTCCAGACCTTTTTATTTTTTGAGACAGGGTTTCTGCCCTGGCCGACCTCATACTTGCCATCCTCCTGGCTCAGCCTCCCAAGTAGCTGGGGCTGTAGGTATATATCACCTTCCCAGCTGGGCCAAAATATTAAATAATATTGTAATAATATTCTCTCAGAGTTACGTGAGATTTGTACTCCTTTTGTGGGTATTAATTTTTCCTATGTACTTACCTGCTTACAGGAAGAAAAAGGAGAATATGACCATTACTATTTTTATTTTTTGGTAGTGGGGATCAAACTCAGGACCTTGTACTTGCCAGGCAGGTACTTAAGCCATTGAGCCATCTCCCCGGCCCCCAAATATGACCATTAAAGAGAAAAAACTGGGTAAAATGTTAATGGGGCTGTGTGATATTCATGGAATAATAAATGGGCTTCAAAAACTAGATAGCAGGCCCAGGCTTGGTGTTCTCCTTGGACGTTAACACCTGGCGACCAATTCTGAGACGAGGTCCTGACAAGCACCCACCCCTCATGAGCACCTTGGGTTTACTACGAGGTCCTGCAGCACTGGCCAGAGCATGCTTGGGGCTTTGGAGCCTCAGGCTTGGGGAGAAGCGGACACTGCTGTCCCCAGGAGGCCCTGCTGCCATGCTGCAGGTGGCCAGGAAGAGGGACTACCCTGCCCTGCTGCCCCTGGATGAGAGTGAGCTGGAAGAGCAGTTCGTGAAGGGACATGGGCCCGGGGGCCAAGCCACCAACAAGACCAGCAACTGCGTAGTACTGAAGCATGTGCCCTCAGGGCTGGTCGTGAAGTGCCATCAGACAAGATCCGTGGATCAGAACAGGAAGCTGGCTCGGAAAATCCTACAGGAAAAAGTGGATGTTTTCTACAATGGTGAAAACAGTCCTGTTTGTAGAGAGAAACGAGAGGCAGAGAAGAAAAAGCAAGAAAGGAAGAAAAGAGCAAAGGAAAGGCTAGAAAAAAAGAAAGTACTGAAGGAACTGCGGGAATCAAGTCGGAATCCTGCTGTGGATAGCACTGCGGGTTCTGACTGAACGTGCCGGAAGCATCCACCAGGAGTTGCGGGGGTGCCTCCCACCAGGGCATACCTGATGGGCTAGAGCAGGCGTGGCGCCGAGGCCGGAGGATCGCCGCCAAGGCCAGCCAGAGCTGCGTAGTGAGCTCGGGCAGCTCAACTACCAGTGAGACCTTGTCTCAGAAAGAAGCAAAATGAATAATGGACTAAACTCAGCAGAGGTTGATGCACACTTTGAGAACAAAAGTACCAAGAAGCCATGACTACAAAAGGGGAGCAGGGGAGCAGTGGGGCCGGGGAGATGGCTCAGTAGGATAAGCGCTTGACTGGCAAACGCAAGGATCTGAGTTCAATCCCCGGTTCCGCAAAAAAAAAAAAGGGGTGGGGGGGACAAAGGCTTTTCTCGGGGCAGGGGACTGCGCAGCCCTCAGTGGGGCTGCTGGGCTGGCTGGCAGGCAGTTGTTTTGTTTTACAGAATGGGGGACCAAACTCAGGAGTGTTCTGCCACCAAGCTACATCCCAGCTCTTTTTGAGACAGGACCCTTGTGGTCTTCCTGCCTCATCCTTCTGAGTAGCTGAGATTACAAGGGTGTGCCATTGCACACAGCCAGGGATGACTCTTGACATAGGCCATTAGAAGGGTCTCCATTTCTTTTTTTTTTTAAATCTTTTTCAGAGAGGGTCTTGTTGTGCAGCTCAGGCTGGCCTTGAGCTCACTTTGTAGCCCAGGCTAGTCTTGAATTTGCAATGCTCCTCCTGCCTCAGCCTCCTGAGTGCTAGGATTGTACTGAGATTACAGGTGTGAACCACCATACAGCTTGCTTGGGGTTAAGAAGCCATTTATCCCATGAGGTGAAGAGGTTAAGAGGAAAAGACTGCGAAGTGTTACTGACGTGCTTGCCATTTACTGTTAGCTTGTGGACAGAGCACATGTGGCCAGTGACATCTCCTGTACATTGATGGGGGCTTCGTTTTGTTTCCAGTGCCAGGGTCAAACCCAGGGCCTCCCCGCTGGGCTGCACTCCCAGGCCTGTCACGTTTTCCATCGTGCTGGGTGAGGCTCGGTGCCATCAGGCACAGCATGCCTTACTGACCAAGGACAGAAAACACACGCTCTGGAACACTCTGGATTGTGCAGGCTTGCGCAGCCCCCAGCGAGGACGAGGACGTTGGCATGGCAGTGGCCTTTTGCTGCATCAGCCTTGTGGCCCCAGATTTTCCAGTTTCTTTCCTAGCATGTGGCATCTGCTGCTGTCAGACACGCCCTGCCTCGCCTGGAGCACAGGGGCGCTTTCCCTGGCCAGCTGGGCTGCGGCATGAGCGCACGCAGGGCCCTCTGCAGCAGGTGAGCACAGCTCAGAGGAGCAGTCCCAGCCCTCAGGTGGCTGAGGCAGGAGGGTCACGCAAGTGCGAGGCCAGCTTGACCTATATGGTGAGACCCTATCTCTCAAAGTAAGCCAAAAAAAGGGGGAGGGGGTCTTTAAGACAGTACATCAGAATTTTCCAAGGAACTCACATAATACAATTTGTTAATGAAAATAAGCTTTATTACCTCAAGTAATAAATACAAAGATGCAAA